AGATGCTGAATTAGATTAGCAGAATCTTTTAGAAGAAAGATAATCAGGACAACAGTCTGGAACTGACCCTACTTCGTGCATTTATTCTTGAATTCATACTCTGATGGTTAGATGTAGATTCAAAACCACTCTGGGTCCACATTCACTTCCTTGCTTTTTTAAAAATTAAATAGTATTTAATATTCTGTACACTCAGTCTGGGTAGTTAGCCTTAGTTTATCCTATATATTATTTTGTTTTATAGGACATAGTAGTAAACTTACTGAATAGAAACATAAGAATAATAAAATTCCTACCCTTTGAGAAACTCAGTAATTTATTGGAGAAGAAAGAACAAATACACAAGCCATTTTATAAGAACATGAAAAACAGATTTAATATATGAAATCAAATACAGTTATTTATATATACACACACATACACACTCAGGTGACTAAAGTGACTAGAGTGACTGTTTCAGAATTATGTCAATTTTCCTTTGAGATTTGTGTCATTTCCTAGCTTTTTACCAAAAATTTGTAAATGGTAAAAAATCTTCCTCTGACTTTTATCTAAATAATTTTTATAGTTCCTGACTTCTTTTGCACCATCCTGATTTAATTTTGAACTACCTGTATAAAGTATACTTTTAATATCTCTGCACCTTTCTAAGGGGTCTTCGTCATTGAGACTATTTCCAGTTTATCTTCTCAATTTGGAGGTATAGGTATGTTGACTTTTATTCAAAAGAGGAAACTTTAAGAAATTTTACTTCCTAAGAACATGAAAATGGGCTAGGCACGGTGGCTCACACCTATAATCCCAGTGCTTTGGGAGGCTGAGGTGGAAAGATCACTTGAGCCCAGGAGTTCTACCTTGGGTGACAGAGAAGACTCTGTTTAAAAAAGAAAAGAAAAGAAAAGAATCATTTACTAGCTTGTGATTTTGGAGAATTTCTGTTTCCAAAGAGGCCAAGGGTTCTGAAGCTCTACTGTAAAAATCATACCATTTGGTTCTTAGAGTCCAGGGATATGTTGTTAATGGCTGAAACGCCCAACTAAGAAGATGCATGTCTTAAAGGTCCCTC